GAGTAAACGAAATCACTCTTTCAAAATTTTCATTCTTTTTCTGTTTGTGAGGAATGAAGTACAGGGATATTTTAAGAAAAAACAAATAAACTAATAAACTCTTTCAAAATTTTTTATTCCTTTTCTTTTTTCAGCAAGTTGGAAGGAATGAAGTACAGGGATATTTAAAGAAAAACAAATAAACTAAAAGATTCCCGAGAATTGATACCCTGATTGTAACACTTGAAAAAATTAGTATACCATGAGCTACAAGGCTCGGGATAAGGACTTAATATGTGTTAAAAAAATCTTCTCTTTTTCTTTTTTTAATATACTTTGAAAAGTGAAATAACTACAGTTAGAAGACATTTATGATTTTTGTAAATAAAAAGGAAAAGGAAGGGCAACCCTGCACAAGGAATGGTGTTTGGTTTGGGCCAAACAAATATCATAGGTTATCTGGTGGTAGTAGTATGCCTTTTCACCCCTTTATATGTATGCCCACATTCCGAATACAATGATGTTTTACGGGGATGTTATGTTTAGACCACGTTTAGTCAAGTAACGAATAAAACTAAGTTGTGACTAGAAACGAGTCTAATACATTGAAATAAAAAAAATAAATGACAATGATGTTATCTTGCTGTTATACTCTATGGTTGTCATTTAAGTTTTTAGCTGAAAAATAAGCTTTTAATTATTGATATATATATATATATATATATATATATTTTGTATGCATGTAGGAGGTCTAAAATGGCTGAGGAGATTGCGAGACTCAAAGAAGAAGCACTTTTAGAAAAGCAGCACAAGCTAAGGTATGAAATGATGAGTTGTTCTAAATTTTGTATTTATTCCTTTATTCTATAATTTCTTTTACCTTTTTTAGTATATTTGTTTGAGATACTTAGTAACTAAGCACTTAACCGACTTCCTCCATTGTAGTGAAACCCCCCAGTCAATGTCCCCTGGTGCTAGAAACTCTAGGATCCATGCCCTTGAAAACATGCTTTCTACTTCTTCAAGTGCCCTTGTTTCCATGGCATCTCAATTGTCAGAAGCCGAGGAGCGTGAGAGGACATTTAGTGGCAGAGGACGGTGGAAGAATATCCGTTCACTTCCAGAAGCAAAAAATATAATGAATTTCCTTTTCAATGTTGCATCCTCATCCAGGTAATTTGCATGTCTGTAGTAGAAAATTCTATTGAAGTCTGGTATTTTTAAATTATAGCTGACAATTGCTTCCTTCTTGCCCTTTCCCGCAGATGTCAGCTAAAAGATAGAGAATTTGACTGTAGAGAGAAAGATTTGGAAATTAGAGATTTAAAGGAGAAAGTGTTCAATTTGGTTAGGCAACTGGAGCATAAAAAGACTGAACTCAGCCGTCAGGAAAATTTGGTGGTGAGTTCACTCTAGATTAGCATAATAAATTTTATTGTGGTATATCTTTATGGAGTCTGATGCAATTCTTGTGAATGCACCCTTAAGGCATCAATACAGGAGAAGAGCTTATTTGCTGCGAACAGTTTCTTATTGAATAAAATTAAATATATATAAATATATATATATATATATATATATATATTTATATATTTTACTGTTATTGAACTTTTGCATTTCTTGGTTTTGACCTTGGAAACAAGACTACTATTTGGCTACATTTCATTCCAGCTATGTATATCAAGAAGCAAATAATTTCGTATGATGCAATTTCCTTCCGAAGTATTTTCTGCATGGCTATGGTATAAACTAT